CACTCACACTCACACACACACACACACTCACACTCACACACACTAAGTCACTCTCACACACACACACACTCACACACACACTCAGTCACTCACGGTCACTCACTCACTCACTCAGTCACTCACACACACACTCACACACACACTCCCTCACACTCACTCACACACACACACACTCACTCACTCACTCACACACACTCACTCTCTCACTTACACACACTCACTCACTCACTCACACACACACACTCCCTCACACTCACACACACACTCACTCACTCACACACACACACTCCCTCACATTCACTCACACACACTCCCTCTCTCACTTACACACACTCACTCACTCACTCACACACACTCGCACACTCCCTCACACTCACTCACACACACTCACTCTCACACACACACACACTCCCTCACACTCGCACACTCACTCACACAAACACACTCACTCACACACTCCCTCACACTCTCACACACACACACACACACACACTCACACACACACTCACTCACACCTCCCTCACACCTCACACACGCACACACTCAAACTCACTCACACACACTCACACACACACTCACTCACACACACACACTCCCTCACACTCGCACACTCCCTCACACTCACTCTCACACTCACTCACACACACGCGCACACACTCACACTCACTCACCCTCACACACGCACACACTCAAACTCACTCACACACACTCACACACACACTCACTCACACACACACACTCCCTCACACTCACTCACACAAACACACTCACTCACACAAACACACTCCCTCACACTCACTCTCACACTCACTCACACACACCCTCACACACTCACACTCACTCACCCTCACACACACTCACACACACACTCACTCACTCACTCACACAAACACACTCACTCACCCTCACACACGCACACACTCAAACTCACTCACACATGTAACTCACACCTGATCATATTAATCTCACCGCAGACACACAGGTGAAGGTCTGGATGAATAAGTACGGCTGGACGGAGAATGAAGATGGACAGATATTCATTCATTATCAGGAGGAGAGCGTCAAGCCCAAGAACATCGTGGAGAAAATCGACTTTGAGAGTGAGTTTGTCTGATTGACATCGACTTCTCGCTTTCATTCAGAGTTCAGTATTTAATGAAGTGTTTCTCATGATGACTGATGTTCTCTGGTGTCCACAGGTGTGTCCAGCATCATGGCGACGTCACAGTGAACACACACACACACGCTCACACCTCATGCCTGAGCTTCCCCTTGATTGAATTTTACAATAAACTCATTTCAGTTAAGAAATTTGGAGTCTTAATTTCATTAAAATCACACAGAGTTATGCTCTTCAGATATTACAACAGTTTTGGATTTTGTATTCTTTAGGAATGAGTGAAAATGTATGGAAGCTGGTTTTTTTTGTTTTTTCCAATTTGCAACTTTTTATCCCACATTTTGGCTGTTTTTCCCCCTCAGAATTGCACGATATAAACTCATTATAAAGTAACCGTTAGCTTTTACATTTTTTTTTATCCAGTGTCAGAAACAAGCTTCCATTCAAATGTGATTATATAATTAAATTAGATGTTTAAAATATGCATTTATAAATTATAATATGTGGCCCTGCAGCACAAAAGCAGTCATGAGCAGCACAGGTATATTTGTAGCAATAGCCAACAATACATTGTATGGGTCACAATTATTGATTTTTCTTTTATTAAGTAAAGATCATGTTCCATAAAGATATTTTATAAATGTCCTACCGTAAATTTTTCCTACAGAGAAAACTTCTGAGTTGAGTCCTGCACTACGAAATTGAATTTCTGTGCAATAATATGTTGATTGTAGCAAAGTTTTATGTACACAACTGTAGATTTGTTAAAGTTTCTCCTTGTTTTACGGCATTTAAAAATGATTTTAGAGTTTTATTTCAATCAATGAAACAATTAAAAACGAAGAGTGCCTTAAAACTCTCTTAAGCTTCTGTCAACATACTTGGTTTGACCCCTTCACCCCTGAAATGTAATTTAATTTGTCTTTTAATTTGCTTTTAGTAGGCTATTATTGTTTATTTTATATTTTAGTATTATTTTGTTTATGTGCTGCTTGGATTTATTGTTAATGTGTTTAACAATGGAAAGATGACGACTGCCTGTTTGTTATTTGAAGGTTTAATATTAATACAGTGATAAAAAAAAAAAAAAAACCCTGCAGTACGTCTTCCGTGCACGTCATCGCGTTCTGCGCATGCGCAGTGGAGCCGGAGCGCTGTCCAGGGTGCTGAAATAATCTCTCCATCTACACGCCTTCATCTCCTGGACACTCTGAAGCTGTTATATCTATAAAGCCATATGCATACGGAGCAGAAGAACACACTCTCTGGTGTGTGATGTTTTGGGCGTGATCGAAGGATGATTGGACTGATCAGACAGCTGAGGTACTACATTCATTCACTGAATACAGTCATAACGGCGATAATCATCATGAATATGACTGTAAAGGGTTCTACTGTGTGTCTGAAATATGAAGGCAGGCTCAAGTGATTGAGATTTTTTAATTACACTGAATACTGAATCATCATTTTTGTTGAATTCATATCAAACAATTTCGCTTTGATTTTAGGACTAGTTAATGGTTAGGCTTTGTGTGTTAGCACAATATCTTACTGGAATAGTTGCTCCTCCCAAGGTTTATTGGTGAAAATGTGTTGGAAATGTGCTCATGCTCAGGCCATCTGATATGTAGATGAGTTTGTTTCTTCATCAGGTTTGGAGAAATGTAGCACTGCATCAGTGTCTCAGCAATGGATGCTCTGCAGTGAATGGGTGCCGTCAGAATGAGAGTCCAAACAGCTGATAAAAACATCACAATAATCCACAGCACTCCAGTCCATCAGTTAACATCTGGAGAAGACAAAAGCTGAGACAAATCCAGCATTAAGTACCACAGTGGACTCTCATTCTGACGGCACCCATTCACTGCAGAGCATCCATTGCTGAGACACTGATGCTTTGAATCAGTGTGCATTGTGAAATGAAGCTGTCTGTTCTCCAGCTGATGGACGGGTCTCTGTCGGAGCAGCGGTCGGTGTTCCTGGGGTCCGAGTCACACGGTCAGCAGGTGCTCAGAGTTCTTCAGGGTTTCAGAGAGAGAGGAGTTCTGTTCGACTTCAGCATCCGTGTGCAGGAGGAGACGCTGCCGTGTCACCGCTGTGTTCTCGCCGCATGCAGCGACTTCTTCAGGTGCATGCAGCACGTAGCAGTAGTGAACACTGCACTTCACATAAAAACAGCTGAAAAACTGTTAACGAACAATTTTCTCTGTGAATATCTGTTTAGCTGTAATGTATTTCTGTGATGCGCAGCTGTGTTTTCAGCATCATTCCTCCAGTCTTCAGTGTCACATGATCTTCAGAAATCAGTATAATATGCTGCTGCCCAGGAAATATTTACTGTGTTGAACACAGTCATGCTGCACACTATTTTTGTGGAAACTGTGATACATTTTAGATGAATAGAAAGTCCAAAAGAACAGCATTTATTTGAAATAGAAAGCTTTTGTAACATCGTACATGTCTTTACAGTCACTTTTGATCAATTTAATGCGTCCTTGAGTGAATAACAGTGTTAATTTAAAAAACAGGGCGATGTTTGAGCTGGACATGCGGGAGCGTGATGACGGCAGCGTGACGCTCAGTAACCTCTCGCCGCAGGCCGTCCACACCTTCCTGGATTTCGCGTATTCTGGTGAAATAGAGATCAGAGAAGACAATGTGGACATGCTGTTCCAACTGGCCTCTTTCCTGCAGGTGAGACAGAAGAAATGACGTGTCACATTATTATTGTTGTTTTTATTGCACTGAACACAAAGTAAAGGGGGTATTTAACATCAGATAATAATAATATGCATAAACTACGATGGAAACACATTTACCGAATAAATTCCTCCATGCGCATTGAAAAGGTCATGTGACTGCGCTATGAGACGGAATGCCTTTCGTTAACAGCTTTATCACGTCTTCTGTCTTTCCTTCGCTCAGGTGGACTTCCTCTCTCGCGCTTGCAGTGACTTCCTGGTCCAAACGCTGGATCTCTCCAACTGCCTGCAGCTGCTAGCGCTCGCCGAGGGTTACGGCTCCTCGCGCCTCCTGCGTCGCGCAACCGACTTCGTCACGCAAAACTTCCACGCACTTTCCTCCGCTCCGGACTTTCTGGAGATGCCGGCGTGCGTCTTGGAGCACTGCCTGTCTTCGGACGCACTCAACGTCCCAGATGAAGAAAGCGTCCTGCATGCGCTGCTCCGCTGGACGCAACACGAGCCACAGTCGCGCAAAATCCTTCTACCGAAGCTGCTTCCACAGGTCCGTCTGCACCATCTGCGTCCGTCTGCGCTGGAGGAGGCCGAGCGGCTGCTGAGTGCAGACGGATGCTGCATTAGTGCGATTAAACAAGCTCTCGCAGGCGTTCATCGCTTCAGTGGCTTGTTTTGCGATGCTCGGCCTTCTACGACATCCAGCTATATTTTTGTGCACAAAACAGAGGATAGCGGAGAGATCCGGCATGCGTTCTGCTACAACATTGGTGCGGATCTCTGGATGGAGCTTCCAAATGACGCCACGCAGATTTTAGACCGGCCCGGATCATCGCTCACCAGTTTCGGAGAAAAACTCTTCATCATTGGCGGATGCCGTGGGGAATGTCGTCGCACTATTCGCCTGCACATCGCCACACATCAGCACGACGCGACGGACGAAGTCTGGTGCTACTGTCCCATCTCGCGCAGCTTCACACCAGTTCTGCGCATGCGTGACCCGCGGACGATGCATGCATCCATCGCCGCTCTAAATCGCATTTACGTAATCGGTGGGAAAACACGTGACGCTTGTAGCATTCTGGACGTTGAATGCTTTGATCCTCTAAGCGGCGTTTGGACACCCGTCAGCCCTCTTCCCAAAGGAATCTACTTTCCGGAAGCGAGCGCATGCGGAAGCATCATTTACACGCTCGGATCCGAGGTGGAGATTACCGAAGCTTTCAATCCTTCGCTCGACTGTTTCTTCCGCTACGATGCCATTGCGGATCAGTGGTGCCAACTAGTGGCAGAGTTCGGCCAGTTCTTCCACGCAACGCTCGTCAAATCTGTGACCATCAACGACACGCTGTATCTGTGCGATCTTTCTACGTATAAAGTCTACAGCTTCTGTTCGGATAGTTGCGTTTGGAAAGGCGAAGGCTCCTTCGAATGCGCTGGGTTCAACGCGGGCGCCATCGGCGTGCGGGATAAGATCTACATTCTGGGTGGCGATTATTCGCCCAATGAGATCACGGACGAGGTGCAGGTGTACGACAGCGGACGGTCCGAATGGCAGGAGGTTTCGCCGATGCCGCGAGCGCTGACGGAGTTTCACTGTCAGGTGCTGAGCTTCAACCGCTACAGAGACCCGTGGAGGAGAGAAACCGCCGAAACGCCCTGAATTAGAGATCTGGGGCCCCATTCATAAAATGTTGCGCAGAAACCATCCTAAATTTGATCTTACAATATGCGTACGTCAGAAGCGTTTCCTCCGAGTGGGCAAGGGAGGCAGCTATGTTTCCATCCACCTATTTTTATGCAAATTTTGGAATATCGCATTAAAAAAATGCTGGATGGAGACATCAAGATGTGCATAAATTCGAAAAATGCGCGTAAAAAACTTATGCGCACAATTGAGTACGATAAACTTTTTATCTGATAAGAAAAAAATTTGCATAAACTACAATAGAAACACATTTACCGAATAAATTCCTCCATGCGCATCGAAAAAGTCATGTGACTTTGCGTTATGGGACGGGATAACTTGACTAGCCAGCGGACGGATCTCGTTCACAGCATCTATATGTTGTTTTGATCATTCTGAAATATCTGATCAAAGTCTGTCGTCAAAGTATTTCTGTATAATTGTCTTACACGACTGCGTTCCCAAACATCAGGCATCCACCTCCGAAAGCAGTGACCGCATTTATTGTTTCGTCTGAGGCGCAAACAATTTATTATACAGTATATAAAATTATTATATTCAGTGGCTTCTCCTAGTTTTCTTAGTGGTATTCAGTGCCAGTTTATCAGGTAGTGACAATTTTGTTCTCTTTGACTCGCTGGATGGAAATGGTGCTTTCTTTATTCGCAAATGTTTTATGCGATATTCCAGTTTTGCGCATAAGTTAAATTTGAATCTTTAGATGGAAACATAGCTAATGTCTCATCAAAAAATTGGATGAGAAAATGGTAGATATTACAGAAATAAAACGAGGCAAATATTACAAAATATGACATTAAAAGTTTAAAAGTCACTCGTTTTTATAAAGTAACACTGTCCGTAAAGTTACAGCGGAGGCTTGCCTCCCTTCAGCCCATTGACTTACAACAGAGACCCATTAGCTGCCGTAGGTTTAGTGGGGGGTAATTGAGAATGAATGGGGGAAAGTCATGTGAGAGATGTGATTGGATATGACTGGTTATGCTCGGCTGTGATTGGTTCAATGCGCTAAATCCCACCTCTTGTGTTCGTGCGCATTCCGCATTCGCGAATCGGTCTGAATGAACAATATAATGGTGTTAATGGGAAGACTAATTAAAAAAGTATGTAAACAACTCACACACTTAGATATAATTAAAGATATAATATAAAATAAGACTTAAATGAACTGAAAACTTGATCCGTGGGAGTTTTTAGTGAATAATCATCGTGGTTAAATTTGAAGTAGCCTAAATCTCCTGTCTCTGATCAATATTTACCGAGCTTTGATGACTGATGATCCAAAAAATTAAAACATAGTTAAAAGTTCATTATTAAAAAGAATAGCTGAACATAATTTCACAATAAAATATATTGTTTAAATTGTTACTGCCTCGAGTTATTATTTTGGAATAAATGTAAAATGCCTAAAAACACTAACTTGATGAGATTCATACATGGCTTTAACAAATAAAATATTCATTACATTGGTTTTTTTCTTTTTCTGATAGTGTAAATAATGTTTATTTAACTAAGAAAATGTGACTGGGACATGAATTTGCATTTGATTAAAAAATTTTTTTTTTTTGCCTCATTTTAAAACACCACCGTACACCACTAGAATGCACAGAAATATGCCTCTCTTTCTCTGGCATTTTCAAAGGCACGTAACATAACATACTGTGGCTCGGCATGATACACAGTCTAATGGTCTAACGAAATCCAGTTTTAAACATCTTTTACTGTACCCATTGTATGGCCCTTATATGACCTATTTGAGCCAATGCAGATGCATGAAGTTATCTCAGGACGAGACCGCCCTGATTGTAAAGCAAAACGTGATTGGCTATAGCGAGATCGTGCTTCAAAGTCTGTCGTCAAAGTATTTCTGTATAATTGTCTTACACGACTGCGTTCCCAAACATCAGGCATCCACCTCCGAAAGCAGTGACCGCATTTATTGTTTCGTCTGAGGCGCAAACAATTTATTATACAGTATATAAAATTATTATATTCAGTGGCTTCTCCTAGTTTTCTTAGTGGTATTCAGTGCCAGTTTATCAGGTAGTGACAATTTTGTTCTCTTTGACTCGCTGGATGGAAATGGTGCTTTCTTTATTCGCAAATGTTTTATGCGATATTCCAGTTTTGCGCATAAGTTAAATTTGAATCTTTAGATGGAAACATAGCTAATGTCTCATCAAAAAATTGGATGAGAAAATGGTAGATATTACAGAAATAAAACGAGGCAAATATTACAAAATATGACATTAAAAGTTTAAAAGTCACTCGTTTTTATAAAGTAACACTGTCCGTAAAGTTACAGCGGAGGCTTGCCTCCCTTCAGCCCATTGACTTACAACAGAGACCCATTAGCTGCCGTAGGTTTAGTGGGGGGTAATTGAGAATGAATGGGGGAAAGTCATGTGAGAGATGTGATTGGATATGACTGGTTATGCTCGGCTGTGATTGGTTCAATGCGCTAAATCCCACCTCTTGTGTTCGTGCGCATTCCGCATTCGCGAATCGGTCTGAATGAACAATATAATGGTGTTAATGGGAAGACTAATTAAAAAAGTATGTAAACAACTCACACACTTAGATATAATTAAAGATATAATATAAAATAAGACTTAAATGAGCTGAAAACTTGATCCGTGGGAGTTTTTAGTGAATAATCATCGTGGTTAAATTTGAAGTAGCCTAAATCTCCTGTCTCTGATCAATATTTACCGAGCTTTGATGACTGATGATCCAAAAAATTAAAACATAGTTAAAAGTTCATTATTAAAAAGAATAGCTGAACATAATTTCACAATAAAATATATTGTTTAAATTGTTACTGCCTCGAGTTATTATTTTGGAATAAATGTAAAATGCCTAAAAACACTAACTTGATGAGATTCATACATGGCTTTAACAAATAAAATATTCATTACATTGGTTTTTTTCTTTTTCTGATAGTGTAAATAATGTTTATTTAACTAAGAAAATGTGACTGGGACATGAATTTGCATTTGATTAAAAAATTTTTTTTTTTTGCCTCATTTTAAAACACCACCGTACACCACTAGAATGCACAGAAATATGCCTCTCTTTCTCTGGCATTTTCAAAGGCACGTAACATAACATACTGTGGCTCGGCATGATACACAGTCTAATGGTCTAACGAAATCCAGTTTTAAACATCTTTTACTGTACCCATTGTATGGCCCTTATATGACCTATTTGAGCCAATGCAGATGCATGAAGTTATCTCAGGACGAGACCGCCCTGATTGTAGAGCAAAACGTGATTGGCTATAGCGAGATCGTGCTACGATTGGTCAGCGAATGTGGCTGTTGTCTGATTGGCTTGAGTAGACGGTGGGTGGAGTCCATGTATTTGTGGATTGTCAGCACGTCTTGACGCAAGAAATGTTTCACAATTCGCAAATGCACAGAAAGCAATTCACAAATAAATGCCAGGCAAAGTTGTGGTTGTGACATAAATATATATTTGTGAATATGTTTTTTATTTGCGAATCTCATTTTATTTATTTGTGAATTTAATTCATGTTTGTGAAACTTTAAGATTTATTTGTGGATCTCATTCTATTTATTTGTGGATCATAATCTATTTATTTGGAATTAAGCAACAATTCTACCCCCATACTCTCTTTCAGATGTGAAATCTATGAATTGCAAACGATCTTAAACTTGCACGCAACTTAATGGTTTCAGCTCTCTGCCTTGTGAACGACTCCTAATTAATGTCATTAACATAAAAGATCACCAGTCATTGTCCGAATTCTTTATTATAAAGCGGAGAGTTCCGGTGCTTGACTCTGATTGGCTGAGCCGGGTTCGAAGCTGTTGTAAATGACGCTACAAAGTAACACACACCTTTGTTTACGTTTGTGTGTTGCTCGGCAACCACTTTGTAGCAACCACAACTGTTTCTGAGGAGCTACATTGTTTGCTGGAAAATACTGTTTTTATTCATATCATTACACTTTATTTGCTCTGTTTTATTTTGTGAAACTTTACTACGTATATGGAATAACCATGTTTTATAAAAGCAATAACCCCCGTGAAGCCGTGGTTTACAGTGAATTTATAACAGCTTCGCGTCGTACCTAACAACGCCCCTTAGCTGTAATAAATTCACTGTAAACCACGGCTTCTTGGGGCTTATTGCTTTAATTTAGAACAGCGAGCTGCAAGAACAGCTTACACTTCCAAAAACCTGCAGTACTCCGACAAGAAAAGTGCGTAGGTCTGCTCAGACCCTGACGTGACGCTAAGCACTTTGCCAAGTCAAAGCCAGTTTTTACAAATATGAGTGTTAGCATGGATTTAAGCGCATACACACTCTTAAGATCAAACCTGAGCGTATGCACTCTTTATAAATGAGGCCATGATGCCATAATGACAGCAGAAGAGGTGGGTGAAGTTGCTAAGATCAAGAAGTCCACAGTCCTCAAGACGATGTAAGATGTCGTAGTAGACTGTGGTGACGCACATTCGAACATGATCTCCACGTACTCTTTATGAAAATTAACAAAAAATAAAAGAGAAAATTAAACCATACAAGTTATGATACCATCAAATAAAGTAAATCAAGGAATCATTAAAAAAATATTTAAATATATTATTTGTTTTTTGGCATAACAATAAAATCGATACTAATTGGATGAAGGGCAAAACTGTAGAGCATAAAAGAAAAATATATATATAATTATAAGTCTGTTAAATTTGTGGATAATAAAACATTACCTTAAGGGAAAGCCAAACTCTTCCACTGCCTCTTTGAAAAATCGAAGGGTTGTTTCAGAGCGGTTATTGTCTGCGATGTGCAAATACATGATCTGAAAAATAAATAGCACTCATTCTGACAAACACTACTTTGAAAAAAAATAATAATAATAAAAGAACAAAAGCATGCCAAGACTTTTTTTTATAAAGTGACTGGTTTCCACTTAAAAGCAGGTTTAAATGTACCTTTCTTGAATATCCATCCACACCCCCAAAGATAACCATGTTGTATCTAGGAGAAAATATCAAAGCAATGGCATGTTGCATGACAAAAGGATAACAAAATGACAGAAACATTTGTCATCATATTAGATTTCCCTTTAAACCTAAAATGCATAGACAACTGTATAACCCACAAAAATGTTACATATTTTGGTAACTAACTGTAAATTATAATTGCACATACATAACATTTGACAAATTCTGAAAAACTTAATTTACCTTATGAGCTTATGGTTTGTATCTATATGTACAAGATACTTGGGGTATGGTACAGAGTAAGTTCGCCGAGCAACACAACCAAGCTGGGACATCCGTGAGAGAATGCCGATACCATCAATACGATGCATAGATGCACGAATTCTGTCCCACTGTACTCGGTGTCCTTTGGCAATGAGGGCTCCTCTGACAACCCTGTACCCTATGTTTGGCATAGTGCTCTTGATTTCAGACACTAAAGAATCAAGTTCTTCATCTGTGCAGCTACTGTAGAGGGATGTGACTGACAAATTACATTCTCTCATTCGTCGATGGAGAGTTGCACGAGAGACACCTAAAATTTTTCTGATAGTTTCCTGTGGTAATCCAAGCTTCAGAAAATGGATTAGTCTGTCTTCCGATATATGGATTCTTGGACGTCCACATCCATCTGGTTTTTCAATCTCTACTACAGTTGCCACCTGCTGGCCTTCCTTGTGCTGCTGAATAAGAGAATCCAAGTCCATCAAACCTCTGACCAAGTCCTGTGAAATCCCAATGTTTGCTGACAAAGCAGTAATCAAAGTCACTTCTTGACGGCAAACAAACTGCAAGTATTCAATGTCCAGAGGCGGGTGTTCCAGAGCATAAGTCACTCTGGAAAGTAGTCTTTGGAGAACTTGTTGCCTCACTGTGTCCTATAATGCAATACCACAAACACAGGATATTTGGTCAATGCAATAAAATGTGTTCAGAATCAAACAGTGAAAGAACAGATATCATTCCAACAATATTTTAAACTGTAGCATGATAGATCATGAAATTACATGCTGCTTGTTTAATTCTGTGGCCATATAATCACATCTGATAGTTATGTGTACATTACATATTTAGCAATATACTTTATAGAATACCAGTTTTCTATAAACACACTCAGGGACTCAGTAGTGATACAGGAAACAGTGATTAAATTACATAGAACATTACTTGTTTTATTTTAGATATTATTACAATAATGCTGATGAGCACCACTTACCTGTCTTAAACTGTCCTGATCGTCCATTTTGAAGCGGTTAATTAGCCAGAATAGCGTGTTTGGTGCCTGGTCCCACACTGATTGTAAGGCAAAACGTGATTGGTTGGAGCGAGAACACGCTACGATTGGTCGGCGCCACGTGACCGGTATCTGATTGGCTTAAGTAGAAGGGGGTGGAGTCCATCCATTTGTGGATTGGTTTGCCTCTTGACGCTTGAAATGTCTCAAAATCCACAAATAAGCATGCAGCGATCTACAAATGCACAGGACGCGATTCACAAATGCACAGGACGCGATTCACAAATGAATGCCAGGCAAAGTTGTGTTTGTGACATAAATATATATTTGTGAATATGTTTTTTATTTGCGAATCTCATTTTATTTATTTGTGAATTTAATTCATGTTTGTGAAACTTTAAGATTTATTTGTGGATCTCATTCTATTTATTTGTGGATCATAATCTATTTATTTGGAATTAAGCAACAATTCTACCCCCATACTCTCTTTCAGATGTGAAATCTATGAATTGCAAACGATCTTAAACTTGCACGCAACTTAATGGTTTCAGCTCTCTGCCTTGTGAACGACTCCTAATTAATGTCATTAACATAAAAGATCACCAGTCATTGTCCGAATTCTTTATTATAAAGCGGAGAGTTCCGGTGCTTGACTCTGATTGGCTGAGCCGGGTTCGAAGCTGTTGTAAATGACGCTACAAAGTAACACACACCTTTGTTTACGTTTGTGTGTTGCTCGGCAACCACTTTGTAGCAACCACAACTGTTTCAGAGGAGCTACATTGTTTGCTGGAAAATACTGTTTTTATTCATATCATTACACTTTATTTGCTCTGTTTTATTTTGTGAAACTTTACTACGTATATGGAATAACCATGTTTTATAAAAGCAATAACCCCCGTGAAGCCGTGGTTTACAGTGAATTTATAACAGCTTCGCGTCGTACCTAACAACGCCCCTTAGCTGTAATAAATTCACTGTAAACCACGGCTTCTTGGGGCTTATTGCTTTAATTTAGAACAGCGAGCTGCAAGAACAGCTTACACTTCCAAAAACCTGCAGTACTCCGACAAGAAAAGTGCGTAGGTCTGCTCAGACCCTGACGTGACGCTAAGCACTTTGCCAAGTCAAAGCCAGTTTTTACAAATATGAGTGTTAGCATGGATTTAAGCGCATACACACTCTTAAGATCAAACCTGAGCGTACGCACTCTTTATAAATGAGGCCATGATGCACTAATTCGTTTTTAAAACGAAGTAATGAAAAGTAAATTGCGGCCATGATTTAAAGCAATAGTTCACCCAAAAATGAGAATGCACTCACTCTCAGGCCATCCAAGATCAGGATGAGTTTGTTTCTTCATCAGGTTTGTAGAAATGTAGCACTGCATCAGTGTCTCAGCAATGGATGCTCTGCAGTGAATGGGTGCCGTCAGAATGAGAGTCCAAACAGCTGATAAACACATCACAATCATAATCTTGGATGGTCTGAGGGTGAGCACATTCTCAGATCATTTTCATTTTTGGCTGAACTATTTCTTTAACTGTTCCTCGTGTCATTCTAAACACATTTTCTCGGTTACTAACACGCAATTCACCATTTTCTCACAACTATAAACACAATCTCAAAACTACACACAAACTTGTGCAAACTTCAGACTTCCAGGTCATAATCAAATAGTTTAGTCAAGAACTTGTTCTCTTTAGTCAAACTCAAACGTTTTCCTCAGATGACACACAAACCTGTCAGATACACACTACTTCACTGCCTCGAGAACACTAGTGAGATCAACTCAGAACACTGTTACACAAACCTGCTTTTGGGAAACAGGAATCCTTTTGCTAGTCAATGACTGTTACAGTATACAACATAAATATAGGATGCAGATACAGTGAAATTCAGCATTAAACTGTAAGAAACGTTTACTTTGGTTACACTGCTGTGAAGAGATCTTACAGTAGATGAAAAGCACTAGAAGAGAAAAGTTCAAACAACAGAATATACAGTAAACACACATTGAAATATACTGTCAGTTACTGTAAATAAATTCATTCAGCATCCTCTGCCAAATTGCATCCCAGTATTGATATTATCCTTATTTGTTACAGCAGTTTCTAAGTCTTCTGACAAAAGACTTCTCTGCCTCCCCTAGACAGTCCTCTCTCAGTTCTGCACAAATACATACTTGACTACAAATCAATTCAACATGTGCTACAGTATTAGAATAATGACAGTTCTCTCATCTGCAGTACTGCTGCTATGTACTGTAATTATATTGTATGTGTAAGTAGTATTGAAGATAGATGAGCCAGCTTCCCTCACGGTCAGTCCATGCAGAAGAACATGCTCAACTATAGCGCTTTGTAAAATTAAATTTGAGCACATCCCCTTCATTTTTATTCCCCCTCATATTCCTCTTTGTCTCGCACTACCAGGATTCATTTTCCAAAACTCATAATCAGCTGTGCTCGTGTTCATATCACCCTGAGATTCTGACCTGTGTGTCAGCTTTGCTACTGAAACATGGATAAATGTGTGCTGTTTGAGTTCATTTTTTGATGCTCGAGTCAATTATATTGTGTGTTTGTGTTTTCTGAATGGTTAAACCTGTGCAAAATGATGCCGTTCTTGTGTAGAGTTTAGCAGAAAACACTGAGTAAATTGGAACATGTGTGCAAACAGGTGAAATTAGTTAAGTTTTGAGAAACGTGTCTTTGTTTCAAGAACTGTATGAATGGTTTGGAAAATTGGGCCAAATGAATCAGTTATAGCGTGTTAGCAATCCAGAAAAACAAAAAATTTGACTAACTTTCTTCAGCGCTCTCCACACGACAACAGTTCATAATAATCACGCCTGTCAAGCTTCAGAAATGTCAAAAAGAGCATCAGAAGTCATTTTCTATGGCTTGTGCACTATATTAAAAAACCTTTGAAGGCTTTATGTGAGAAAAGAGATTTAAAGCAGAATTTGCACACATATCTGTAGTAATCTATAGATGATAGACATATGTACTGAAGTGCATCGTTAGAGAGCATTTAATGTAAATCAGTTCAGATTAACTCCTGAACTTTGTGATCTTGTTGCAGACATTAACATTGTATTTCTGTATCTTAATGTAAATTTGACGCATGAACCTAGAGATGCATGCCGTAACACACAAACACACAGTTGCATTGCCAAAGCGTTCTTTATTTAAACAAATAAAACAATGTCTTCACTCGACACATTGCTGGTACTCTTTCGGCATTTAATTTGAGTGTTTTTTCCCAATTTATCACATTAAACATCCAGGGTATCAAAGCTTTTAACATTTAACACAAGCCAATAATCCATACAGACAAACTGCTGCTTTTGAAGGCATCACGAGACGATCCATCCTGACTGGCACATCTTCCATCCGTCTGCAGAAACATCATCGTCCGGTGCTGGAGCTCATCTTCACAGCTGAGGATGATGATGATGATGATGATGAGGAATGAGCTTCATGATCATGCATCCTGATATTGTTTGACCAGTAGCCACATGAGCAAAACTGTGATCAACACAACCATAAAGTTCAGAAACAGCTCCTGTGCGGATCGGTCCATCTGAGATGTTCAGAGCAGAAGCACGACAGCTGGAGGACTGGAGATGACTGGAGCTCTGGATCAGAGACAGAGAGAGAGAGAGATGTGGAAAATAGACAAGTATGCTGGTCATTAAGAAATGAAGCCAGCAGTCTATCCATCCATCTATCTATTCATCCGTCCAAGTTTCACCCCCTATTTGGCTTTGAATTTCAAACACAAATCCTATCATCAGTTTAACTGCTGCGACACATACACACTCTCTCACACACACACACACACACACTCACTCTCACACACACACACACACTCACTCTCACACA